CTTTTTATTAATAAAAAGGATGCGTTTACTAGTCAGTGGTAAAACAAATGAAAGTAGCCATTGGGAATTTGCTGTTAAAATACATGAATGGATTTGGTTTAATCGATGAGTTGTTTTCTGAGCCTGTTAGTAACCTCGTTTCTGAGTATACTTTAAACCAGTGATGGCGAACCTATGGCACGTGTGCCACAGGTGGCACGCGGAGCCCTTTTTGCTGGCACCTGAGCAGTCGCCCAGCTCAGATCCACTGCGCATGCCCGCGCCTCCCGCCAGCCAGCTGATTTTGGGGTCTCTGGTGTCGGCAGGAGACATTGAATGCGTGGGGAGAAGGGGGAGGTTGCAGGTTCATGCGTGGGGGGAGGGGAGAGAGCACACATTCAGTGGGGTGGGCACGGCTCCCCATGTCCCATTTTTAGTGCTTCCACCCCAGGCATGCGCGCCTGATCCTTGTTTTGGTGCTAGCAGACCTCCCTGTGACGCCTCCTGGCACCAAAGACGGGGTTGGCTTTGGCTCTCTCCTAATGGGAGAAGATCAGACCTCAACCTTGACTTGAAGTGGCGAGCCCCTCCGGATTTTCATTCCCCAAACGAGTTTGCCCCACTCAAATGGGTGGGGAGGGGCCAAAAAGAGAGCGCCAAAGCCACCCCCAAGCTGAAATATTCCAAGCACTATGAATCACATGCTCCCGTCAGGTACTTGGGAAAGAGAGTTTTCCCTCCCATTCCATTGCAGGAGAGGTGGTCAGACGGGTGTTCTCTCAGCCGCTGCTGGGTGAGGATAACTCTCTAAAAAGGCCACTTGCCTCTTCTTCCCACCCCTGAGTGGGAATCGCTGAGAAAGGGACCAGAAAGATTGGCGGCGTTTGGCTGCAGACGCATTTGCAAGCTGCCTGAAGTTGACCCAGCTGTCGGGCAATGCAGGTCCAGAAAAGAGTGGGGGGGGGTGTTTTCTGGAAAGGGGAGGGGGGACAACGGCCATCGCTCCTTCATACCTTCCTCCATCCGACCTTTTCCCTTCCTGGGTGTGCCTCCTAAGTGCCTTTGGAAGCAGGCGAGATCTCCACCGGCTTCTTTCAAGTGATTTTGGCCATTAAGACGGGCCACGATCAGCTTTTCTTGCCCATTTCCTCTGCCTTAAAAGGCGACGTGGATGTATAGGCATGTGTGGGCTCATCCATGAATGCAGTTACTTGAGCTCGGCAGTAATAGCGCACAGGGTGCACAACTTTCCAGAAACCCCCCCCCCCTTTGCTCTTCTCTGGACCTGCATTGCCAGACGGCCGGCTCAACTTCATGCATCTTGCAAGCACGCCTGCAGCCAAGCACTGCCACGCTCCTGGCCCCTTTCTTGGCGATTCCCACTCGGGGGTGGGAAAAAGAGACAAGCGGGCTTTTTAGAGAGTTATCCTCACCCAGCAGTGTCTTAAGAGAGCTTGCCCGTCTGGCTACCTCTCCTGCAATGGAATGGGAAGCTGCCTGGAATCGAGCCGGCCGTCTGGTGATGCAAGTCCCAAGAAGAGCAAGAAGGAGGGGGGCTGTTTTCTGGAAAGAGGGGAGGGAGGGACAACAGCCATCGCTCCTTCACTGCTTCCTTCCCGCTGCTCCTTCCCCTACCCATGTTGAACTTGCTTGCCCCCAACCACGCTTTGTTACACTGTTTGTTTTCATTCAGCTGCCACTCGAACTCTTCAAAGTCCAACATGGCTAGGAAAGGAGCAGTGGGTGGGTTAGCTGGCCACACAGGCAGCAAATGCTGCCTTTCTCCCTTGAGCACCCGAGCCAGCCAGTCACTCTTGCCTTTCCCCCTCCTGCTGGAGCTGCCCTTCTGGGGCAGCAGAGCTGCGCAGGAGGAACACCGGAGAGAGAAAAGGAAGGATTAGGAATCAGCAAGGGGTGGCAGGGAGGGAGGCAGAAGCAACTGGCTGGCTTCTCCTCCTGCCAGCCTTACTCTGGGCAGCATCCAGCATGGCAAATTTAAGGGATTTTCAAGGGCTGAATTTGCAAACTACGATGCATGGTGTGGTACCATGCGTGTGGTGAGGACATGGTCGAGCTCGGCACAAACTGCAGTGCTCTGAGATTGCAAGCCACTGTTACTTGGGACGCTGCTTTCTTCGCTGGCCCTTCAGGGCAAGCCAGCTTATGGTCCCTGAGANAGACACACAGTGGCTTTATTCCCAAAGCCTCCTTAACTAAGTTAGTAATTAGTAATTTAATAAATTTATATGCCGCCCAATCCCGTAGGACTCTGGGCGGCTTACAAAAACAACATAAAAGATAAGAGTTAAAAATAGAAAAAGAGAAACAAATTTGCAGCTGCATTCACAAACTTGCTTACCCTGCCTGGATGAATCTTCAACCTGGTTTGGGGTTGTTTGCAGGAGTGCTCTTAACCTTGGTGGTGGTGGTAAACTTCACCTTAATTTATTGGGAAAACGTGCATTTTTTATTTTTATTTTTTTAATATTTTTATTTTCTCTTTCAAGTTCATTCACAAATATACACTCTTACAATTACCATTAATTATATCATTATCATTAATCATTTATCATTATTTTATTACAAATATATAGAATACAGTTTGGATCACTTTCTTGCCACCCCATTTTATTTTGCAACAACCTTGCTCCTTCTATCTTTACCTCTCCTCTCTGCCTTCTTTCCTCTTCTTCCCTTCTTCCCCTCTCTTTTCTCCCCTCCTCTTCTCCTCCTTCTTACCCTCACCCCTCCTCTTACTTCCCCTCCTTTACTTCCTCTGCTTTACCCTTTCTTCCTTTCCCTCTGCCTTCCTACCTTCTTCCTCTCTTTCCTCCCCTCCTCCTCTCTTACCCTCTCTCCTACTCTTAATTCCCTTCCCTTACTTCCTCTGCTTTTACCCTTTCTTCCTTTCCCTCCTCCCTTCTTCCTCTTTCCTCCCCTCCTCCTCTTTTCCCTCTTACCCTCTCTAGTACTCTTAATTCCCCTCCCTTACTTCCTCTGCTTTTACCCTTTCTTCCTTTCCCTCCTCCGCCTTCCTCCCTTCTTCCTCTTTCCTCCCCTCCTCTCTTCTCCCTCTTACCCTCTCTCCTCTTGATTCCCCTCCTTTACTCCCTCTGCTTTACCCTTTCTTCCTTTCCATCCTCATCTTTCCTCCTTTCTGTTGTTGCCCTTGCTTATTTACTTTCTCTGATGGGTTCTCGGGGTGGCATTTCAGGAAACCCAACTTTATATTTTCATACATATCATTTTGTTATATTTTGTTACATTTTGTTGCATTTTATTTCTAATAATAATTCCATTTGTATCATTTTTTAAAATTGTTATCTTGCATTGCATTTTTTTTTTTCTTTCCCTTTGTGCATGGCTTATGGTACTTTTAACAAGCAGGTTTTCATTGTGTGAATGGGGCCAATTCAGGCTCCTGAGCTTGGCTCTTGATGACAGGTATAGTTAAAAGTACTTGGCAGCGGTGTGGAAAACATAGCCGTGCGCACGCCCTGCACAATTACAGCCTGGAACAGGACCTAAGCCCCTTCCTCCCTCGCAGGAACACTTTCCCTCCATTACGAAGTCTCCGAGGCTAATTGTACAGGATGTGTGCGCACACATGTTTTTTACGGCGTGGAGCTGCGGTGACGCTCTGCGCGGCCATTCCGGAGCCCATCCACTAGGATTTCAAGGAACGTGAGGTGGAGTCTAAACTTTAGAGTTGCGCTGGTCTCAGCAACCCCTGTCTAACAGTCGTTCGACCTCAAAAGGGGTCGCGACGCAAAGGTTGAGAACCGCTGGTTTAGGTAGTGT